CATTAAGAACTGAATTACCTAACAATACGACTTGGACGATGCCCTATTATCGTGACAACGAGATAGAAATTCAACCAACACTAGTATCAATCATTAACAACACTTATACTCCTGATATTCTCAATCATACTAATAAAACTCTTACTCTTGAATGTGACACAAAAAACAGTCTTTCTTTAGAATCAATAGATCTTAATAATTTTGAACTTTTCAACTTTGAAACGAAATATCACTCAAACAAAAAACAATTTTCTGAAAAAGTGTTAAGTGCTAGCTCCAACGCTTTCGTGTGGCTGGGTAAGCTAGCCGTGTTTAAATTTTCGGATAAGAAGGCACTTGTATAGTGTTTAATCAAACTGTATATATTAGTACAGCCAGGTAGGCTCGAGTTTTCTCAATGGTACAAATCGTTTTATGTTCGTTTTACAATTTTCTTCTTCTTCAAAAAAATGAGGGATGCAACCCTTATATAGGCAACCACCTCTACCGTAATTTTGCCCAACTAGGCGGCGTTGCCAACCCCTATTCTTTATTTAATTAATTAACAAAAATAAAAAATAATTTTGAAAATTTAATAAGACATCAACACCTAAATCAGGAAGAAAGGGTCCAACTTTTTAAGCTAATTAAAAATTATTCACAAGTTTTGCATAAACCTGGAGATAAAATAACCTTTTCAAATAAAGTCAAACATGTCATCAGTGGTGTTGATGAATTACCAGTTTACACTAAAAGTTACGGATACCCCTACGTTCACAAGGAAGAAGTGAACAAACAAGTCAACCAAATGTTAGAAGACGGAATAATCCAACCATTTAATTCCCCATGGAGTTTACCTATTTGGATAGTAACAAAAAAAATGGACGCATCTGGTCAAAAAAAATGGCGATTGGTAGTCGATTACAGGAAACTCAACGAGCAAACTGTCGACACTCGATATCCCTTACCAAATATAACTGACATATTGGACAAACTTGGTAGATGCCAGTATTTTACAACGCTTGATCTAGCCAGCGGGTTCCACCAGATCGAGATGGATCCTAATAGTATACCCAAAACAGCTTTCAACGTAGAGCATGGTCACTACAAATATACAAGAATACCCTTTGGATTAAAAAACGCCCCTTCTACTTTTCAGAGAACAATGGACAACGTCTTACGCGGGCTACAAGGAAAACTTTGCTTAGTCTACATGGATGACATTATCATATATTCCACCAGTTTGCAAGAACATTTAAACTCTCTAAAACAAGTTTTTGACCGTCTTATGAGTTGGGTTTCCTTTTTTAATGAAAACATGAAAACTCAACTTGACAAATCCGAGTTCTTACAAAAAACCGTTGTTCCGAATTCCGAATTGCTCTATTGAAATCTTTCTTACTGTATCCATTCCAACCAAAGGCGTTTTCCAGGTGTTTTAATTCTCCCTCTAACTCGTCTGGTTCGCAGATTCTTCTGGCTCTTTCGGTGAGAGTTTTGATGACTCCTCTCTTTTGACTGGGGTGATGGTTTGAACCACTGTGCAGGTACCGGTCGGTATGTGTCGGTTTCCTGTACACTGTGTGGGCCAGCTTTCCGTTGGCTTTTCTGGTCACCAAGACATCCAAAAAAGGCAGTCGCCCATCCTTCTCCACTTCCATAGTGAATTGAATTTTAGGGTTTATTGAGTTGAGGTGCCTCAGGAAGTCTTCCAGTTCAGTCAGACCATGGCCCCAAACAACAAAAGTGTCATCCACATAGCGGAACCAGCACTTAGGTTTCCTCACGGCTGTGTCCAGAGCGTTCTTTTCAAATTTTTCCATAAAATAGTTGGCTATCACTGTACTAAGAGGGCTGCCCATTGCTACTCTATCCGTCTGCTCAAAGAATTCGCTGTTCCACTGAAAGTAGGTTGTGGTTAGACAGTGTTTGAAGAGTTTGGCGATGTCTGGTGGAAATTCTCTCGCAACAAGTTCCATTGCCTCCCTGATTGGTACCATTGTGAACAATGAAACCACATCAAAACT